AAGGGCGAGCTTACTTGATGACATCCAACCACCCTACCCCCCCACCCCCCCCCCCCCACCCACTAGTGTAATGATTGATTTACCATAGTCGAGTTACTTAAATACTTATATGTATTTACACCAAATCAAACGATTTAACATTCGCAACTAAAAATTAAGCAAAAATATGTTAAATAATAAACGAATGTATAAGAGATATGTTAGACATTCGACATTTAGGTATAAACATCAGTTGCAAGTAACTTTTACCATCGACTCATCCGTGGAGAACTTATCTTTCATCTCTAGCCTCGTTTGCCACGGAAAAAAGAAATTCACAAGTTCATATATCAAATCAGTTTATTAGACATGTCCTTTCTATAATATCATGAATTATCGTTTAATCATATATTAAGAATAATAAACTTTAAACAATGAAATAAAAAAAAATTATAGAAAAGATTCACCACCAAAGAAAGAGAAATAGAAAGTAAATTGAATGTTAACCCTTAAGCAACAAAAATAATTTGTAATAGTTGCTTGATGTTAACTCTCAAGAGTTAAATTAACTTAATACATAAAGAGTAATAGTAGTTGAATTAACTTAATACAAATCATACAAATGGAGAGCACAAGGTGAATCGCAATAAGAAAGATATTAATTAGGAATTTTTACATTCATATACCACATAAGAAACCTTTTTACCCTACATGTTTAAGGTTTGAGTAAATTACACTTAGTATACCAAATTATCAATCCTATACCATACTTAATTAAGGGTCTAATTAATGGGCTGTTTTTACTCCTTAATTAAAGGTATCCATATCTAATTAATGGGCAGTTTTTACTCCTTAATTAAAGCTATCCATATATGCCACGTTTCTCTCTCCTTACCCCTCACCCCCCACCCACGTTTTTACCCATACCGCACATTCTTTTTACTATTTTACCTCTTCTGAAACCAAACAAAATTCCATTAGTTGCTCTGTCAGGTTAATTAAATTCCAATAGTTAATTAAATTGAAATCAAGATGAATTGAAGCTTTTACTTTGATACTCCTATTAGGGTTTTGGACGAAATGAGAAAATGACAATAAATTAAGGGTACAAAGGAGAGGAGCAGGGAAATTAGGGCAGACTGCCTTACACTGACGAAGAAAGACAAGAAATTGAATTGTAGTTTTTTTGAAGAAATTTTGTAGATGAAGAGAAAATTTTGTAGTCAACATTTTTTTCAACATAAATTGTAGTTTAATTTTAGTATAAATATAGTAATTTTGTAGATACTCTTAAAAACAATACAACTTTATACAATACTAAAATTGATTTGTAGTTTACAAGAGCATAGTACTACGGAGCCACTAAACCAAAGATCTGCTAAGATCGAAGGATAAGTAAAGAATAAGTATTCTGTAAATATAGCCAATGTGCAAGGTCAAATGAAAGCTTAACCATAGAAGACGATAGTGGTGGAATCCGAAAGGTTCATCATTAACACTACTTTTGATATAGTTGCAGAATGTATTTCAAAAAGACTCAAAGCCACCCTGAAATAAAGGTAGAAAACTCACACAACCATCATCTTACTGTTGCATACAGATATTCATTTAACTGAACTTTGCTTTTAGATTAATGAAGCACGATACTAAGATTGTGTGGTGCAGACACAAAAAACACAAATGCTGGCCCGCGAACCTATTATATCTGTAAGGAACCCAAAAAAGTACAGCATTATATCTGGTACAACTTTATACCCTTAAAATTGAATTTAATGTAGAGTCAATTAATACCAAGATTCTCTCCTTAATTTTAGCACGTTTTTAGGGAATATTATGCCCTTTTAATACCTAATAGACGAATGGTACAAAAATTGTAGGTAAAACGTGGACTGAGCGGGCAATTTACATACTATGTACATTTTTGGTAATAAAGTTTCATATATGGTATAGATAGGAAAAAATCCCTATTAATTATATATAGAGCAAAAGACTATTTACTCCGGAGTTTAACTTTTAAACACTGTTAGTGCATATAAGTTAAATACTTCGATAAGACCAATAGATATTATTTACAATATAGCCAAAAACACCTAGAAATGTATCAAATGAAGCAAAGGCCACTTTTCACACCCTTTACAACCTAAAGGTAACAACTAAAAAGACTATTTACTCCAGAGTTAAACTTTTTTACAATGTCAGTGCATATAAGTTAAATACTTCGGTAAAGACCGATAGATATTGTTATCTCCAATATAGCCAAAAACACCTAGAAAAGTATCAAATGAAGCAAAGGACAATTTCCACACCCTCTACAACCTAAAGGTAACAACTTAAAAGACTATTTACTCCAATTATATGCATATAAGTTAAATACTTCGATAAAGACAAGTAGATATTGTTATTTACAATATAGCGAAAAACACCTAAAAAGGTATTAAATGAAGCAAAGGCCAATTTCTACACCCTCAACAACCTAAAGGTAACAACTAAAAAGACTATTTACTCCAGAGTTTGAACTTTTTTACACTATCAGTGCATATAAGTTAAATACTTCGGTAAAGACCAGTAGATATTGTTATTTACAATATAGCCAAAAACACCTAGAAAGGTATCAAATGAAACAAAGGCCAATTTTCACACCCTCTACTTCCTAAAGAACAAAAAACACAAAGAACAACTTTCTTTTGCTTCTCCTACTCCTAACTTCAGACAGTTGATTGTGGTACTAACCTAAAAAAATTAAAAAAGAATATTAAGCAACTATTTTTGTTCTATTTTCTTTTCATTTGGATATTTTGCTATTATCTTGGACCTGACAGTTCCATGGCATGAGTGTCATAGTCATCATCCATCATCTCAAACGTGGTCAAATGGTCATAATCATGATCATTATCATCATTTCCAGGGACCATAGAATGGTTAATCTGAGTTTTGTTACCATCATAGTTATGAGAGGCAGCCCATTTTTCAGCAAGGCCGTCGCCTTCAAGCATTCGGACCACCTCGGACATCTTGGGACGGTGGGACGGCAAGTATTGAGTACAAAGTATAGCCACTTGTAGCATCTCCCCTACATCAATCCTGTCGTAGTTGCTCCCGAGTTCTCTGTCGATGAGAGCTTCAACGTTCTTCTCCTGCTGCATTTTCTTAACCTGCAATTAACCACATTAAGATACTAGCTTGCTTATGATTTCAATAAATCAGGATTTTTCTTGTTAAAACCGCAAAACAAGTGAGGTCATTACCCTTAATAACAAACTCAAGAACTAGACAAACTTAAAACTTAATTCATCTGCTTGACTGCAGTTAAGTACCAAAATAGTCATTCGTCTGATCGAAGGCCCATTTTTCACTTTCATTTAAGGAAATTCACGCTTTTAGATCGTCAAATATTGACAACTTCCAATTTTGGTGATTTATAGTTAAGCACATTTAACCTTCAATTAGTTGATATGTACACCGTTGATCCCTCTGCTTGTGAATCTTCACAAATTTAACGAATTACTATGTGCTAAACCATCTAAATACCGATGGTAAAGGTAGAGAGGCTAAGTACCATCTAAATTCGTTAAATTTGTGAAGGGACCAAATACACAAATTTTAGTTAGTTGAAGGTTAAATGTTGCTTAACCAAAAATTACAAGGACCAAATTAGAATTCACCAATAACTAAAGGACCAGAATTAAGAAACTTACCCATTCAAGTACTGCTCCTTTCTGGTTTACTGTTTTTCCCAACTCAAATGCTCGCATCCCAGTTATAAGCTCTAACAAGAGGATACCGAATCCAAACACATCCGTTTTCTCGGATGATTGACCAGTGGAAAGGTACTCGGGCGCAATGTGACCAACTGTGCCACGAACAGCTGTGGTAACGTGAGAATCTGCATGATCAAGAAGCTTAGCGAGGCCAAAGTCCCCAACAATAGCCTCACAGTAGTCATCTAATAGAACGTTCGCTGCCTTCACGTCTCTGTGGATTATCTTCGGATCACATTGTTCATGAAGATAAAGAAGACCTCTAGCAGCTCCAATTGCAATCCTCTTCCTAGTATTCCAATCTAGTGCCGGTTTTCCTGTCATTGAAAGATAGAAATTAAGAATGTTTAGAGTGCATACATTTTATTTTTACATCTAAAATTGTAAGATTGACTTCTGGAAACAGAGCTTTATTCCCTCCTACCTCCTTTATACAACGAGATAAATAACCTTCAATCGTGCATACTCCACATTTAACAGAAAATGACTCGAAATACTGAAATCCCATGTTTGAGAAAATATTTTCTTCCTAATTGAGCAGATCATCTAATTTTTTTCAGAAATGTGATAAATGTATACGAGCCTAGTGCAATACACAAGTCTAAGATAATTCATACAGCACAAGAGTGTCGTAGAGTTACATTTGAACTAACGAACCAAGAATTTCATTAAATAAAATGCTTCTGTAGCTTAGTGGATGCTAAAAAGGCCCCAAATATCATTAGAATGTTTCCTGAGGAGTTCTAATTCCTCAACTCACCACCGTACTAATAAAATTGCTTGTGCGCGAAATGGGATGCAATCCAATTCTCAATCATGGGCCAGGAAACCACACAATCACACACACAGAGAGAGAATAATGAAAATGCCTAATTGATAGAGAGACATGTCGAATGTACTCGTCTTTGCTATTTTAGATTCTTTCAAGTGAAAGTTAGTCATGACTTACAAACATGTATTCCTATTACTTGAAAGAGTCATTATAAGAGTTTGGTCACATCATATTCAAATAGAAAGTAAGTGGGGGCATATCACATGTCTTCTTATAATTGCACTATGTCTTTTAGCCGTTAGAAGCATGTTGGAATTGCTATCTCCCTCCCAAAAACTTTAGATAAAATCATACATAGAATCTTCAAGAAACTAAAGCATATTTTAAGCAATTAGGCGTGCCGACAAATTGCAGCCAAATTGGTTAGAAACTAGAATTTGAAACGTTACGACCCCATAAAAACAGTGTGGTTTGTTGCAAAATTTACCTCTAAGTCTTGATGCCACACTACCATTAGACATGTAAGGATATACGAGGAGTCTCTCGTTTGGTGTAGCACAGTAACCAATTAACCTGAGCAGATTTCTATGCACTGCCAAGCTAATTAGCTCCAATTCTGTGCGGAACTGTGATTCTCCGGCAGTTCCACTAATATCTTTCAGTCGTTTCACTGCCACGAACGAGCCATCCCCTAGCTTTCCCCGGTAAACATTGCCAAATCCACCCGCACCAAGAATGTTCTTGGAGCTGAAATTGTTCGTTGCACGTTGAAGTTCTTTAAATGTGAAGCTTCTGAGATTTCCTAGTCTAACTAGATCCTCCTCTTGCATATCTGGAACAAAAAGACGAAGCCTAAATATCTTATAACCGTCGTCAAATAGACAAATGTTGTCTGACGTAATAATTTTGTGATGACTCACCATTAATGTTAAGAATTGACTGTTTCCTGTTCTGGTTTCTTTTCCAAAATATGAATCCAAAGCCTAAGAGGAAAAGAGAGACAAAGCTGATGCTAAGTCCCAGTGCAACAGCTAGTCTTTTCGAGCTGCGTTTATCTGGTTACAATGGGAAGCAATTTAAGAGGGTTAGATTGTAGTTATGTTTAAACATTCTACAACAAGAAAGTTTTCTGAACATTACCAGTGGAATCAATAGACATTGAAAGGGGCATCGGATTTACTGATCCAAAACAAGTCTCAGTGGAGTGATTTCCACAAATCAAAGGGTTACCAACAACACTACAAAAACATTAACGATAAGAAAATCACAATCTGAACATACCAAGTATATTCCCACAAGTAGGGTCTAGGGAGGGTAGTATACACGCATTCCTTACCCCTACCTTGTGAAGATAGAGAGGCTGTTTACGAAAGACCCTCAGCTCAATACATGATTTCAATGTACAAAATATATAACTACAAAAACATGTTTAATGTAACATAATAAGGAAGAATTAGGAAAGAACACATACTTGAAAGTTCTGGCCGGGAATTTAGGAATAGGTCCAGTCAGGTTATTGAAGGACAAGTCCCTGAAATGATAAGAGGTTCACAAAAACAGAAAACACTATTCATTTCCTTTTCACAACAAACATTTACATAAGGCTGAATTCAAGAAAGAGACTAGATAATTACAGTGAAAATTTGGATGTCTGAATTCTAAGGACATTCAGACAAAAGAATAAAACAAAATCACAAACAAAGACATGGATAAAAAAGAAGAATTATACTTACAAGAAAGCAAGTTGAGGGACCCTTGCTAAAGAAAGAGGAATAGCACCAGACAAGCTATTGTTGTTCAACCTCCTACTCTCCATTAAATGACAAAACAAACCCCAGAACAAGACATCAAAACATAGTCAAAGAAAAAGATAGCACTTAAACATAGTCAACATAACAAAGCATAAACTAAAGGAAAAGGGTAATTAAGAAAAACAAAAAATTCTTAATTTTTTCTATAACCGAGAAATCCCCGAGAGTCATAGTGTGGCTTGACGCACGGAACGAAACTCGGTGTATAACAGGCCCACCCTTTTACCATCCTTTGATGTGTGCCTATCCCACACATCACATGTAGCACACAATTTAAAACTCAAGTAGATAATGGGCCCGCCCCTTCACTCTTTTTGATGGGTGTCTAACCCACACATCACATGTGGCGCACAATTCGAAATTCAACAGATTATGAGCTCCGCCCCTTTACCCTTCTTTGGTGTGCGCCTAATTCACACATCACATGTAGCACACAATTCGAAACGCGATAGATAACGGGCCCCGCCCCTTTACCCTTCTTTAATGTGCACCTATACAACACACCACATAGCGCACAATTCGAAACTCAGATAGATAATGGGTCTCACCGCTTTACCCTTCTTTGATATGCGCCCAACCCACACATCATATTGAGCACAACATAAAACAAAGATATATAATGGGCCCCACCCCTTTACCCTTCTGTGATGCGCGCCTAACCCACGCATAGTTTAAAACTCAATAGATATTGGGCCCCGCCCCATTACCACTAGAGGCAAAAAATTCTTAATAATCACACAGAAAATATCTCTTACTTACAGATATTGAAGACTGTTTAGTAGACTCAAAGATTCAGGCACATGACCAGAGAAATGGTTATTAGACAGATCCAATGTTTGAAGATTGGGCAGTTTCCCTAGCTCATTTGGAATATGCCCAGAAATATTGTTGTTTTGCAGTAAACTACAAAATTAAAAACACAATTATCAAAAACTAAAAAAATTAACCAAAATGAGGTCATTAATATTTGAATTCTTGAACAAAAGAAATATTGTCTCTTACACTTGTTTAAGGTTTGTAAGGTTTGATATCATCCCAGATAAAACCCCAGATAAACCTTGACTTGGTGCTCCTCTGCACAGTAAAAAAACAGTAAAATAATTTCTTGACTACAAAAATAATGATAAATCATAAAAATTATTTATGACAACAACAACAACAAATTCAGTATAATCCCACAAGTGGGATATAGAACGGTAGTGTGTACCAGTGTTGGCAGACCTTACCCCTACCTTCAAGAAGATAGAGAGGTTGTTCCCGGTAGACCCTCGGCTCAACTTCGAGAAAGATAAAAGGAAGGGCCACGACAAACAAACCAATCGGAAAACCAACGTGAAAATATAAGACTAACACTTAGTAATGCAATCATAAGATCAAAATACTATAAAAATTATTTACAACAACAACAAACTCAGTGTAATGCCACAAACGCAGACGTTATCCATGCCTTTAAGAAGGCAGAGAGGTTATTTCCGGTAGACATTCGGCTCTGACAGATAAAAGAGAGGGACAACAACAAGCAAACCAATCGAAAACCGTAGCGAAAATATAAGACTAACACTAAGTAATGCAATCAGAAAACCGAAACACAATAAAAATTATTCGAAAATTAAAAAAAAAAAAACAATAACTTACAGTGCAGTGACAAGATTTTCAGAAGAGCAAGTGATCATAGCCCAACTACAAGGATCAACAGAATCTTCATCCCAATTACTTAAAGCTCCATTTGGGTCATTCAAACTTCTCCTTATAGCAATTAAAGCTTCCACTAAACCAACAAAAACAAAACAACAAAAAATGAGCAAAAAAAAAAAAGTATTTTTCTAACAAAATATGAAAAAATAATAAATGGGGTTTATTCTTTTTTCTGTTTTTTTTTACCTTCATGATTTCGAGCTTCATATGAGAAAGAAACAGTAGCAGAAAACAGAAGCAAAGAGAGAACTAAAAACATGGTAGCCATAATAACAAGAAAGTGAAATATTCCAACAAATATATTAAGCAAAACCCATAAAAAAAAGATTTTTATTTTTTTTCAGTCAAAAACTAAAAAGCAAGAAAGCTAGAGAGAGAAAGAGAGAGAGAGAGTAGTGCAGAACATGAGAAGGAAGAAAAGAAAGCTTCTTTATATGTCTGTCTATTTGTTGGTATTTGTACCAAATACACTTTTTTTTTTTTTTGCTTTATCTATAGGAATACAAAAAATTTTGATAATTATTTTTTGGATATTTGATTTTCCTAGTTTTTGTACTAAGCGAATCAGGTGGAGATGATATGATACGAGAAGTCTGCAGTGACAGTGAGAGGACTCACAGAAGAGCTGGTTTGAAGCTCAGAATTTGAGAGTGACAGCAATATATTGTTACTGGAAAAACACACACACAGTGCCCGCCCCCCCCCCCACCCCACCCCCTCCCTCTTTTTTAAAAAATCAATTTTTTTCTTAGAGAAATGTATATTTTTAATTGTACTTAAAAATAATAACCGATAAAATATATATTTTTATATCTCTTTCTCTATATATATAAATATAATAATAATAATACACTCAGTGTAACACGAAAAGTGGGGTCCGAGGAGGATACTGTGTACGCAGACCTTATTCTTACCTTGTGAAGATAGATAGGTTGTTTCCGAAGAATTTTGGCTCAAGGAAAACGAAAAAAGGAGCAGAAATATACATACATACATATATATATATAATGGGGTATTATCACTTTTAGCCCGCGCTAGAAACTATTTACATCTGGTAGCCGGAACAATTTATAAAACTTGTATAATTTTTGTATATAACATGCAATATATATATACATATATATATATATATATATATATATATATATATATATATATATATATATTTTTCGGCTATTATTTTTACAGCGGCTATACAGTGTCATTTTTGTTATATATAATACACATATTTTATACTCTATATTTGTTGGCTAACGAATGTAGTTAGTTTCACCTGACTAGCCAAATTTGTATTTTCTCTTCTGTTTTTTAACTGTTTCGTACTTGCTTTGGGCCTAATTAATATAAATGTGCGCCGCATAAGATCTATTAAAAGTGAAAATGCTTCTTGAACCGAGGGTATACTGAAAACAGTGTCTCTCAATCTCATTTTGTGAGATTTTACGGAATTTTTTATTGTTATTATTAAAAAAATAAAAATCCTAGTTATAGGATCTTTTTATAATTAAAATTTTTAATTCATCTCATTACAACCGTCGATAATAAAAAGGACAAATTTTTGCTTGTTTATAACAAGAAAAAAGGGAGAAAACATTTTAAAAATGTGTGAAGGGATATTATAGAAAAAGCAGAAAACACACTGTTTTGGTTCTGAAAATACTAGTCTATGTTCATTTTGTTCTTTCTGATAGCCTACTAATGATAAGACTTGACAATATAGGGAGTAATTATTAAGGCTATGATCCATTTCCAAATGTTAGTAATAAAAGTTTTAATTTCTTTCTTTTTTCTTTTTTTTAATTTTGAATTTTGGGTGAAATAAAAAGTAATAAAAGGAAGAGCCATGTCAGTGTTAGGTGTCCAAAGACTTTATTTACATAGATTTGGTTATATATTGATTATTAGGGTTTATTTTGTTTAGTTTCTTGTATCTTTCAATCATATAAATGAGTATTACAAAATTAGAAATATTCTCTCTTTTCTGGAAATTTTATCAGTATTTCTCCTTTGAAGTAATTTTCTGTTACTTGCTCAATTGAATTATTTGCTCTATAAAATAGTCAGTCAGTATCAGTCCATTCACAGGTTGCTTGGATGGTTGTTACTTATTATATTGTATCGTATTATTTCGTTAAATACAATATTTGTTTTGATTGTTACTTAAATTTTATTATATCGTATCTTTAAATCCGTCGTTACATAACGACGAAATGTGTCATTTTATGTAATGACCGATTTGGTGTGGTCGCATCGTTACTTGTCTTTTTCTCTCAATCTCACCCTTCATTATTATTAAATAATTTTATTTTATCATTTACCCTACCTTTTTATATAATAATTTTATCTTGTATCATAATTTTTCTTTATAATATTGTAAGTTTATTTTTCATATTGCTAGTGTGTGATATCATGAAACGATGTCAAACAACACAATCTATCCACACATTATATTTATCGACGATACAGTACGGTACAATACAATACAATAAAATACAATACATTATGAAACGATACGTAACAACCATCCGAACAAGCTGTGAGGAGCCGTTTGGTTCATTGGGTTAAATAAATTATTCCGATATAAATTTTAAAATTAAATGCATTTCGTGTTTGGCTGTAATTATAATTTATAACATAAAATTCATATCTTTTTGTATTAAAATCTTGGTAATATCTCAAATAAAAGATGGAATAAATTAAATTTTCAGATTATAATCCGAGTTATAATCACAAAATTATAATCATGAAAATATCCTGATCTTAAACTAAGAAATAAAACTTTTGGTCCACTAAGAAAGTACTAGTAGCCTAGTAGGAGGTTTAACTTATTAAGGTGAGGAAATAATTAATTTCAAAAGAAATCATTTCAAAATTATTATAATAGTTTTTATTTTGAACAAGCATAATATTTAAGATAAAGTCCAAAGCAATCATGTCATATAAAATGAGGAAAACAAAATGTAAATTTCATGCCAAGGGAAAAAGCAATATATATGTACCTATATATATCTATATGTCTTCTCGTCGTCAATAATCGATAAAATTAGAACGATACAGAAAATTAATATAATTTATATACAACATGATGCATACAAATCGAGAAATAGTTAAACTCTTTTTATCTATGCATGTATAATTAATAACAGTTTTATTTTTTTTCTAGTGTTAATTTGTTGAGTTCTATTTATGAAAAATCTTGGTTTAGGTTTTGATGTTCTTTTGGCACATTATAAATTTATAGATCCGTCAAAATGGGTTTAGCCCGTGAGACCAGCCTAACCCAGCCCGCTATTTGAGTAGGGTTGGGCTAAATTTTTTGAGTCCATTTAAAACTGAGGCTTATAAGCCCGACCCAAGTCAACTCGTTGGACCTTGAGGCTTGACCGAGGCTGGGTCTGGGCCCGCCCGTGGGCTAAAAAATTAACAAATTAATTAACTATTAAATATTTAATATTTTAAAAAGTAAAACTAAAAAAAACTATTAACTCTAATCCCCATTCCCCAACCCTGGATTGCTCATTTACCCTTCCATATCAACTAGTATTTACATTTTTAACATGCATGTAATATGACAAAATTAGTTTTTCTTTTGCTTAATTAATAACGAACTCGAAAAGTTTTAGTTGGCCAATAATAATCAATTTTCAAAAGAAAATATTACTTTAAGTGGCCAATGATCAGTTTGGATTACTTTAATATACTATTAATATTTAAACTGCTCTTTAGTATAGAAAAAGATCATTTTTGAATACACCAAAAAAAACAATTGACCACTAGCAAATTTCAGGAATTTTAAATTTTTTATGGTCTATAATGATGAAATCAGAAAATGATATTAATCCTAAATTAAAAAACCTCAGCATTTAAACTTATTGAAGCAATCCCTGAATCTGAGGAAAATGAGAGAAAAGCATTAAGAAAATATTCATGCAACTTTAAAAAAGAAGAGTTAGAGATATAGAGAACTTGCATTTCAATTACGAGATTACTCGTCAAATGTCAAGCTTTTTTTACGATCTAAGCAAACAAAAGTTATTTACATGATTAATCCACTATGTTGTGAGCACGTGATTTTTGCCCTATATATGAATTATTCCCAAAAATTCAAACAAAATAATTTCTTTTCATTATTTGCAATTTTTTGAATTTTGTGGCATTTTTGTGTTAATTGTTTGCATTTGTTTGTGCATGTTTATTTTATTTAATTCATGAAAAATACAAAAAAAATATGTTGCACTTGCATTTAGGATTTAATTTGGCATTTTGAAATTAGTTAGTAATCTATTTGTGTTACAAAAATAGAAAATCACAAAAATAACGCATTTTTGCATTTAGCTGCGAATCTTGCAGTTTTCTTTTAATTTGGTATTTAATTAGTTGTTGTAAATATTATTTTGAATATTAATCTAATTTAATAGGATAATTTTGGTTTAGAATTAATGTAGGTTTTATTTAGAAAATAAAGAAAAAGATTTGAAATTGAAAAGAAATGGAAAGAAAAAGAATAGAAATATAAGTCTGTTTGGGCCATCTTTAATTTCCAAACCCCAGGCCCAAAAGTTTCCCCCCCAAACCCACTCCCATACCCGTCCAAACTGGCCCACGACCCGCCCCCAGAACCCGGTCTTTCCCCCCAGCAATCCAAAACGACCCCGTTTTTAACAGACCAAATCAGGACCGTTGATCTCTGTTGATCTAACGGTCCGGAACTGGGGTTTGTTTAATATTTATATGTCCGAACCTCTACCCTCCCCCCACCCCTTCGTCTCTCTCTCTCACCCCATCCCTCAGAGACCCTGTAACGCCGCCACACTCCGCTGTAAGCCGCCGGCCGGAAATCGCCTCCGCCGGCGGTGATACTCCAAATCACCCCAAATTTACGCCCCATGCTCCTCTCTTCCTCCCCTTTCCATATCCATGGCTATCTTCCCTCAAAGATCAAGCAAACCCTTCGAATCTTAGATCGCAATCTCGGCCAAAAATTCTACCTCTTCCAAATCCGACCAAAATTGTACCCTACAGTCTCCTGGACCTCCTCATTCCGAAACCCAAGCCAAAACCTTTCAAATCTAAGTAAAACTTCACAAATTTAGGATCTAGGGTTGGCCGGTGCTTGCATGGTTTTGAGATTGTATTATGTGTTTGTTCTTACCAAGAACAAACACCTAATATTATTCGAAGACCACGTGTGAACTCAGTCAAGTTGAAGACTCAAATTAGTGAGTTTTGTCCTTCTCCCTTCTTCTTTGTTTAATTTTTTTCTATGACTGCTTCTGTCCTCATAATTTTTGAGTTCTAGTTTAATTTTCGTCTAGGATGATTTGCCTACATAGTTTCTGATTTTAGTTGATTCTATGATTCATATTTGATTTCATGAGTAATTTCTGACTTGAATTACACTTTAATTCCCATTTTTCTACTGATTAGCCAATGATTAGTTCTTGGAATTTCAACTGAATTTCTATTCTGTTCTTCGTGTCGTTTGGATGTTGCTTAATCTGATTTGGTTTGAATCTTAACTTTCATTGAGTTGATAATTGGAAGTTGGGGCTACCATTTTAATTGTGACCTTAGTTTAAATTTAGCCTTAGGTTTTGAATGATAATTA